ACGAAATTGAAATTTGTTTAAAAAAGAAGACATACAGTTGGATATACTTAAAACTAGCTTTACAATAAGTGTTCAAATAAATTCCCATTTTGTTCGATACAGAGTCTCGCTCGACGAACTAATGATTGCGTAGCCCGAAAAGTGGAAAGTCTTCTTCTTCTTATTTCATTTGCAGCCTGATGGATTCTTTGAAGTAAATCTTCTTGAGTATTTACTTCAGTCGAGTAAACTAGGTCTTTTAATGACCCCTAACTATGTATAATCAACAATTCATTTAAATTCGCAGTACATTTCCTATCATGTGACAAATTCTTTAGTTTGATTTTATTCAAAAATGGCACAATTTATCGATATTCAATAAGAGTATCTTTTTTTATGTTGAAAATCCTAAATTTTCTAATTCTAAAATTGAATTGCAAAAATAGAATCACACAAAAATTTTGGGGCTAAAATAACCTGAGTCCATCCCTGCTAGATACGCTTCCAAACAAAACTGTCTAAAATTGTTAATATTTTTAAATCCAGCATAAATAACTTGCCTAGAATACCAAATTTTATGTCTTCATCTCAACACGTTTCGGAAATATTAAGGAAAAACCACCTTCAGGGGAGCCTCTTTAAAAGACCGTAGCGCCCTTAGGCAACGTTTATTTCTTCCTACTTTAAGCTCTCGAAACCGCTGGTAGAATATTGCACACTTTTTTCGGGACACCCTGTATAAGTAAAACTCACGTCGACGAAGGACGTCCCCCATTTCGGTGAATCCTGATCGTTCTAGGGTTCTACCTTCGGGTTCTGATTTACATCTGAGACTTCCTACCCTTGCCCTACCTTTGCTTCGGAGCTTTTCTTCGAGAAGCTTCATCGCAGCTATCCCTTCTCTTCTGTGGGAATCCATCCCACCATTCTGTAATAGCCAAGCACCTACCAAGCTGATTTTTTTTTATTTAAGTTTTAGCTGAAAACTAGTTTGCTTGTCTCCCAGGACTTCTTTTAAAAACAATTTTGTCAATAAATGTTTGCGTGCCTTGTGAATTTGTGTTTTCTTAAACTCCAGAGACCCATCATTCGGCCAGTCAGCTCAAGTTTTGATAGGCACTACTTGTTCTTGGAACTAGGTGGCGCTCAAAGCTCAACCATTTGTATCGAAGACCAAAGTACAAAAAAAACACACTCGAAGGTCACATTATTCGCCAACAAGATCAAGTCAAAATTTCAAAAGGAAAATAATTTTTATATGAGAAAATATGGAAAAATCAGGAAACGTTACGTCCGAATGTGACCTTGACCGTAAAGTCGAGATCATGTCAAGCTTTGTCTTGACTTGTACTGAATAAGGTCACCGTTGGGACGAAAACATACAGAGTGACGGGAAAATAGATTCGGAGCCGGTGGGAGGAGATAGTACAAGCCAATCTGAGTCGATTTTACTATAGGAACTACTGTCCGAAAATTAGCCCTTTTCGAATTATACTAATTTTTAAAATTTTATGAAAATAACGTCCTTTATACGTTAACCAAGTCATAAAACTTGAAAATTATGTGTTTCATTTGATTTTCTTTTGGTTTTACAATAAACATATTCTAAAATACGAAAATTAATACTCAAATATATACTTTATCTGAAGTCACTTGAAACACTGTGAAATACCGGGTGCGTTTTATATATCTATATTTAACACGCTCTGTTGCTGCAAAAATCGCCAAATTTCGCAGCAAATATCCCCCGTATAAGAATCAAAGGCAGTTTCACCGGTCCACGTGGAGCAAAGCACGCCTATGCGTGGACATAGCCAATGAGAAAGCGTGTATTTCAGAGCTCTGAACAAGTGCAGGTGGCTACTGAAAATTGAAACAGTTTAGCCAGTGCCGTGTAGCGGTGAATAAACGTGTTTTCTTTAGTCTGTCCGTGTTTTTTCATAGATTTTATTAGTTTGTGTGTTTTTGAATTTTGAATACTCAGTTTACTTGTTGATTTAATTGTTGTGTTGATTGTTCTTGTGTGTCCTAAATATGGCTCTTTGGAGACCTTGGGAAAATGCTCCAAGCCACGAGGAGATGGTTGATGAACCTGTGCAGGCAGAATTCTTTCATAAAGATTTAGAGGAACAGACCCAAAGAGTAATCCTAAATATGTATGATTGTCTGAAAAACGAAAATCCAGATTCCTCGCAAAATCAAATTTTAAACAGAATTTGTATCCTGACAAAAATCAGTCGGTCTACCATTTATCGGGTTATAAAAAGGGGAGATGTAGTCAACCATTCCTTTCACAGAAAGCGCATAGGGCAAAAATTAAAAAGAATAGACGTGGGTTTTCAGGAAGATATTCGTCGTATAATATACGGATTTTATAAAGAAAATTTGGTGCCCACGTTGGAAATGATACGGGATAAATTAAAAGATTATCCTGAAGATTTTTATAATTACAAATGCTTAGACTCACTGCACTGTATTGTAAAACTGTGTGGTTTTCAATACAAAAAATTAGATAAAAGAATGGTGATTATGGAGTCGTCTCGAATCGTTGAATTGCGCCAAGAATTTTTGCACAAAGTTAAAATCTATAGAGAGCAGAAAAGAAATCTGATTTACCTGGATGAAACGTGGTATGATACCCATGATGTTGTGCAGTACGGCTGGGTTGACGACAGAAACAAGTGCATTTTAAATGCACCATGCAACCGTGGAAAACGAATCATTATTCTCCATGCTGGCAGTGAAAATGGATTTATACCTAATGCCTTGCTGTTATCTGCCAAAAATATCAAAGAATCATGTGCCGACTATCATGAGGACATGACCTCCGACTTATTTGAAAAGTGGATAGAGCAGCAGTTAATACCAAACATTTCCCCAAATTCAGTGATTATTATGGACAATGCGCCATACCATTCCCGACAGAAAAACAAAATTCCGAATACAGGCACAAAAAAACAAGACATTATTGATTTTATGAAGGATAAGGGAATGGAAATACCACAAAAATCAACCAAAGCCATATTTTTGGATCTTATTAAAAGACAAAAATTTGTAAAAGAGTATGTTGTTGACAATCTGCTTCAGCAAAATGGCCATGAAGTATTACGTCTACCTCCCTATTACTGCATTTTTAACCCGATTGAGTTGGTCTGGGCTGCTTTAAAAAAAAAGTAAGAAAACATAATCAGACCCCTCAATTAAGTGAATCGCTATTGGCCACAATAAGAGATGCAGTATCTCATATTGCTGCCACAGACCTATGGAAGCAGTGTTCTAGGCATATTATTGAAAAAGAAAATGAATATTGTGTTTTGCCTCCTGTAAATCCCGTTGTAATTCCTCTACAAGATGACTCTAGCGACAGCTCCAAAGGCGAGGATGATATTTAAATACCTATAATGTAAGTCTTTATATACCTTTTTATATACCTACCTGCTATGTAGATATTTGCCCATGTCAAACGTTGGAATTCTGTAATTTTCCCATTTCTTAACTTTCAGTCAACATAAATTAAACTCCCAATATAAGTATTTTTATCCCAAATCAAAAAAATAAGAAGATAGTAAAATCCATTTATTGTGATATAAAAACATTATTATTATCGTTCTAAATAAATAACCGCACGCCTATGATACGTCATGAAATTACAAAGGACGCGCCGACCAAAGGTTTTTATGCTATTTCAAGTGACTTCAGATAAACCATTATTGACGTTATCTCACGCAGTAAGCTTCAAAATAGTTCGAGTTTTGTTAATAAAATCTTCGTTCATATGAAAAGCTTCAGTTTACTAGAAAAAGTGGCATACAAATTTTTCATACAAAACAACTAGAAAACACCTAGGTTTCATTACCTTTCAAATGGGGTATAAAAACCACAAATCGATTAAGAATTGGCAAAAATATGACTATTATAAGAGGAGGAAGGAAAAAGCAATAAAAATACTACACTTACAAAATCATACCTTAATACAAGATAATTTGTTTGAAACTACACTTTTTTATTTTTATAATACATTTTCAATATGGCGCCCTCTAATTCTAATGCACATACGTGCTCTTCTTATGACAGCTGATTTTACTACCGCCGAATTCCTAAGAGACGCTTCAATTTCTTGTGCTGCATGTATTATCCTGTTTCTGTTTCCTGTTTCCGAATCGATGGATCGGTAGAGGCAAACCAATCCCATGGCCAGCACGCAGTCCCGATCTCACACCTATCGACTTTTTTGTGTGGGGTCGCATGAAAACTTTAGTATACTCTGATCAAAATCCTGTACCCACAATAGAAGACCTCAGAAACAGGATAATACATGCGCACAAGAAATCCAAGCCTCTCTTAGGAATTCGGCGGTAGTAAAATCAGCTGTCATAAGAAGGGCATGTGTGTGGATTAGAATGAAACGTAGATGTTTTCTAATTATTTTGTATGGAAAATTTGTATGCGACTTTTTCTAGTAAACTGAAGCTTTACTGTATGAGATAACGTCAATAATGTACATTTGAGTATCAATTTTCGTATTTTAGAATATTTTTACTGTAAAACCAAAGAAAGATCAAACGAAACACCCAATTTTCAAGTTTTATGACTTGGTTAACATAGAAACGACGTTAATTTTATAAAATCTTAAAAATTAGTATAATTCGAAAACGGCTAATTTTCGGACAGTAGTTCCTATAGTAAAATCGACTCAGATTGGCTTGTACTATCTCCCCCCACCGGCTCCGCATCTATTTTCCCGTCACCCTGTATATGGCGGAGGTACCCAACAAGATGCAAGGTATCTCTCCCGATATTAATCTGTAAGGCTCAAGTAAATCCCCAAAATCCCCTATTAGGGAAAGCACGCTCATCTTTGTGAGCCTGTCTGTTCATCGTTTCAAGTTATTTAGGTTTTTGGTTTTATTTAAGAACAAATTCGAAAACGCTATACTTTTCTTAATTTTGTGGCTTCCTGGGCTAGAGTTGTCAGAAAATACTCAATACATAATGAAGAAAAAAATTATCACACTACATACCCCGCGAATACCCCTTAGTTTTCTTGTTGAAACGCATAACTGCAGGCGCTCACTTCTCACAGATATCACAACACACGGATAACTAGAACGAAAACAATTAATTCGAATTCCTACCGCTTCTGTTTTATATCAGATAAACACGAACAAACTAGCACATGTATTTTTACCTCATTCGTTACAAATACTAAATTGGATTACCAACCAGCAAATACCCGACAGCAAATTATACGGTCAATGGTATTTTTCTAAACAGCATAAAAAGGAGAAACATGAGATCAAGTAGATTGAGTCAATACTCAGAAAGAATTTTCCGTTTAGTGCAAAGTCAAAAAGACGTACGTTTTGTCAACATCAGTTTTGCGTTATTATTTTTATTTCATGAAAAAAAAATCCTCAGTTGCCGAATGAGTTCTGATTTAAATCTGCTTATCAACAATATGCGATAGCTGATTAATATATCACATCAAAAAATTGCGATGCACGTGATTTTTCCATTCTGTGATTACTTTGTTGCAAAAACAAGATAATAACCAACTAATTAAACTAAATAGTTAAAATTTCGATAAAGTAAAAAATGTTTAAAGTGAATTTTCTCCATACAACGATTTCGTTACACGACACCTTTATCCACTTGTGTCTTCAATTGTGTCATTTGGGTTGCTGGGATTTCGGGTGCCGCCAAGGCACCCTCGCGATGTCGCCGCATAGGCAACCACCATTACGCAACCGTGTATAAAGCGCGGTCGCGTACGAAAACGCTCGTGAACGTTTGACCGCAGGGCCGTATGCTCCGCTGTTCGATTTCCGTCCGCCGCCGCGGATGACGTCACGCGGAGAGCGATTATCATTTGGGTTGATGTTGATAACGTGCTTATTTTCACCTACAGACCAAACGGCTGGACGGATTTTCACATTTGAGGTGTCGTTGGATTCGTCTACATTGAAATTTTATAAAAAACAGAATGGTGGATTTTAATATAAGATTTCAACCTTGTAATTCCTACTTCATCATTTTTCTACATTACCTATATTTTAGTATGTTCTGTGGAGCAGGAATAACATGTTCATGTCATAATACTGTACTGTATGTATCCTTATTCCACAGAACATCCTAAGTACATGTAAGTGTGAAAATGTACGCAACTTGAAAAGTAGAAAAATGCAGTTATCTTCTTTTTGCAGTAAGGTGGACTTAGTCTAGGCAACAATTTTTTTCCATTTCCTTTACGATTTTTCTGGTCTTTCAAACTTTTATTCAGTTCTTGGATCCGGAAGAACATCCTTGACCTGAAAAACGGTTTTTTGCTTTTTTGTCACTATTCCGTCCCCATTGAATGAATACCTTCTTCAGCTTCTTAATTTGATTCATGAGAGTTGCGGAAGGTTTTGATAATCCAAACAGGGTATAACTAATACAACAAGTCACAAAACCACCAAAAAAACACCAACAAATCGCACTATACCCTGTTTCAGTTTATTGTTGCATAACTTTAAGATTCGATAGAACTTTTAGAATTAATGCATAAAGTCTATATAAACATGGGTCGAAAAATGCGTGGCTTCCGAAATACAGGGTGTTTAAATGTACTTTCTAAAATAGTTTTTTTTAAATAATTCGAACAATATTTGATGTATAACAGTAAAAATTGGTATACAAGGGTTTTCTGGTACGACAAAACGAACCATGGGCATAGTTTTACTGTAGCCGCTAGAGGGCGCTCTCTACTGTACCTGTAGTGTATTAAAATCACCGAAAAAATTTTCTTAGCGCAATTTTTTGCTTTTTGCATAAAAAACTGATTCTTCGCATGTTTCAAGCTCTCTTGTGAATTTTCGTTATAGTTAACCATTTTTGAGATATTTCGATTTTTAAGGTTCGATGCATTTTTAATTATTTATGATAAAATAACGTTAAAAAGTCAGTATCTTCATAATTTTTAGAAGTAGGCTGTGACTGCAAATATTTTTGAAATTGGAAGCAGAATAAGGTTAAACGTCAATTAGTTGACAGTTAGTTTTGTAGTCTGTTGAAACCTGAATCGTTTTTTTGCAATTGTGAATGCACGAAATTTAGTTTGGAAAATCAAAAAAATTAATGTTCTGTTTTTTGTGTTTATTTGGACTTAGGAATTATTGCTGTGTTTAAAAACACAATCTAAACGATCATCTTGATTACTTGTAATGCCCAAATCAAAAATGTAAAAAAAAATATTATTTTCCCATAAATAATTAAAAATGCATCGAACCTTAAAAATAGAAATATCTCGAAAACGGCTAACTATAACGAAACCTCACAGGCGAGCTTTTTTATGTTGAAAAGTGCGAAGAATCAGTTTTTTTATTCAAAAAGCAAAAAATTGCACTAAGAAAAAAATTTCGGCCATTTTAATACACTACAGGTACAGTAGAGAGCGCCCTCTAGCGGCTACAGTAAAACTATGCCGATGGTTCGTTTTTCGTACCAAAAAACCTTTGTATACCAATTTTCACTGTTATACATCAAATATTGTTCGAATTATTAAAAAAAAACTATTTTAGAAAGTAATTTTAAACACCCTGTATTTCGGAAGCCACGCATTTTTCGACCCATGTTTATATAGACTTTTTGCATTAATTTTAAAAGTTCTATCGAATCTTAAAGTTATGCAACAATAAACTGAAACACCCTGTATAGTATTAACCACGATAAACGTGATCTGCAGTAACGTTACGACAATCCTGCCGCTGGTAACCACGAGCCGACAACTCTCCGGGTGACGTCACGAAGCCCCGCCCACATGCGCAATATCCTATCTTCAGTGTATGTGTATCGTGGTTTGACCCGTCGTGAGATGAATCTACAGCAATCTAAATAACTTCTCTTTAAGGTAGCGCTCGCTCTGGAACGCTTCTAGAATTCACCAATTGGAGCTAAATATACGACCAGCTGGCGAAAGCAGTCAGTCAAATTTGGCAGCGGGCGATGAGTCACCGCAGAACGCGATAGTCCAGTCGCAACGGTTATAAATTTGCCATAAATTGAATAATAAATTATACTTCGTGTTTTCATCACAACTTGAACCACTTGGAATAAAAGCTAGACAACGCCACTTACCAGGCAACTCCAGGAAGTTCGACGTCCTCCTCTGCCTGCCCCTAGCCGTATTTTGGAAGTTATTGAGAGGGCCAATGTCCTCGTTCGACACGTTGGATGCAAGCGAGTCCCTGGAACCGCGCCTGGAAGCCAAATAAGCCAGACCGCCCTTCACACTGCCTTTTCGACGCGGCGAACTCGGACGACTCAAAGACGTCGTGGCCGTTTGACCTGCATCGCAATCGTCGGAGGTCATCTCGGTGAGGTCGGAGGTCGACTTTCGGCACCGACACCTGAACCAAAGTCTCGCAATTACGATACTTCCTCGCCAGTTTTGGGACAGGAAGTAAAAATATAACTTTGTCCACTTTTCTTAGACAAAAAAAATATTACATGGTCATATGAAATATACTAAGTGACATATAAATCCGAACACCCAGTTTAAATGGTTTCATTTTAATTTTCTCAAACAGGACCTTTACACGTTTGGTTTCGGAAGTCAAAAGAAGCAGAAATTCTGACAGTATTCATGACCTTGAGCTCAAAGGTCATTTCAAGGTCAACCCGGTTCTCTTGAAACTATACTTTTGCTGCCGGAGATAGGAAGATGAGGAAAATTATAGAGTTGACTTTGACCACGACCTTGAAAATGAACTTGGCCATGAACTTGACCGTGGTCTTGATCATGACCTTGGCCGTAACCTTGACCATGACCTAGACCTCGACTTTACATATATATATATATATATACAGGGTTATCCAAATTAAGTGTCCACCATTAGTAACTTTGTTATTAGTGAAAATACAAAGTTGTTTGAATTAGCAAACTAGTAGCATTTTTAACGCTGGTAAAAATGAGAAATAAAAAAAAACAATTGAGAGTCGTTATTTTGATTTTTTTCAGTAAAATAACATTTTTTTAAATGGAAACCCCTGTATATTATATTTTTTTCTGTTAAAGCATCAAATTTTAAACAATACAATAACTTTTCTCCTAGGTTACAAATTGTTGAAGTTATGGCCTCCAATCTGAAACAATTAAATTGTATCGACAAACTTTATTTTCAACATCAACTTATAATCTTACAAAATACAATAACAATTTTTTTTAAAGAAGATGCTCGAAAACACCACCCTGTTCTTCAATACATTTTTGGGCACGTTTTTCAACTGCTCGAACTGTCTTAAGTATGGTCCTACTATCTATCAGGGTTATCTTTTCCCTAACTGCAGTCTTTAACGCGTTAAAGGTTATATTATTTGATTTTATCATTGTTTTCCAAAGCCTTCTAGTTGCGAGTATGTTCAGTTTAACAATTTGTCGCTTATCTTAATGCTGTCAAATCGCGAACGCCATGTTGTTTTCATAGCCGTCTTAATATTATAATACTGCAAATAATTAAAAATATTTATCGTTATTTTGACTTTATTTTTGACTTTAGCGGAAAAGTCATTATGAACTTTTTTGCTTAAAATTTGATGCTTTAACAGAAAAAAATATAATATACAGGGGTTTCCATTTAAAAAAATGTTATTTTACTGAAAAAAATCAAAATAACGACTCTCAATTGTTTTTTTTTATTTCTCATTTTTACCAGCGTTAAAAATGCTACTAGTTTGCTAATTCAAACAACTTTGTATTTTCACTAATAACAAAGTTACTAATGGTGGACACTTAATTTGGATAACCCTGTATACTAAGTGACATATAAATCCGAACACCCAGTTTAAATGGTTTTATTTTAATAAAATTTTGTATAAGTACTTATAGAAGCATAATAAGTAAATGATAAAAATGATTGCACTGCTTTAAAGCCTTTTGACCTTTAATAATATGTGGATGCACCCTGGTGTGCTACGCATTCTCCAACGCGCCTAGGCATGCTTCTGCTCATTCCAGGCAACCACCAACTCCTCTCGAAGTGCTTCTAGAGTCTGAGGAGGACGTTGCAAATTGAGCAATTTCCTACCCATCTTATCCCACACGTGCTCAATTGGGGATAAGTCGGGAGATCTTGGTGGCCATGGTAACAATGTGACATCATTATATAGAAAGAAGTCTATTGTGACTCTTGCAACATGTGGTCGGGCATTATCTTGTTGGAAAGTTGGATCTGCCAGGGTGCCAAGATAGGGTAAAAGATGGGGTTCTAGAACTTCGTGGATATAACGCTGCGCGTTCATGTTACCTCTGATGAAGATTAAAGGTGACCTGGAACCATAAGCTATAGCACCCCAAACCATAACTCCAACAGTGTGATGAACATGTCTTTCAACAAAAAACTGTGGATTCCTCCTTTCACCACGTCGCCTTCTAACCCTGGCACGACCATCGTGCATGCCTAAACAAAATCGAGACTCGTCACTAAAGACAATACTGTTCCATTCCTAATCCCAGAGTGACCGTTGTCTGCACCACTCAAGGCGATTACGTCGGTGTTCTCGAGTTAAAGGGAGGACCCAGTGTGGCCGGTATGAAAACAAGCCAAAACTTCTCATTCGTCGGTAAACACTTCGCATGCCAATAGGTCTTCCGTGTTCTGCAAACCATTCATTTGCAATGGACCTGGTAGTGGAGAAACGGTCCCTTAAGGCCAATAATCTTAGGCGGCGATCTTCACGGTCTGTTGTTCTACGGCGGCGTCCAGTACCCCTTGCTCTTTGCGTACGGCCTTCTCGAAGCCATGCCTGACAACACCTAACCACAGTGTCTACACTTCTTTGCACTCTAACTGCAATTGCCCGAAAAGAAAGTCCAGCTTCCCGAAGTCCCACTATACGGCCCCTATCAAACTCACTAAGTTGACGAAATCGTACAGGTCTCCGTACTCTAGGCATCGTAACCGATCGTAAAGAATGTCAAGAACCAAAATCCGCCAACGTTGATTCTTTACTGCGGCTGAAATATTCATTTTTAGAGCGTTAGTGAATTAAAAAAAAGCAGTATAAAAATCGGAATGTCCAACTGATAAGGCTGAAAATTTTTTCACTTGTTATTTACAGTAAGATAAATTCACCAACTTTTATTAAAATAAAACCATTTAAACTGGGTGTTCGGATTTATATGTCACTTAGTATAGTTAGTTTATGTACACCCGATACTTAGCAGAGTCTTTGAAAATTGAAACAGCTCTTATCTGACGCTTCGGATTTGTTGACGTGAAAACGGCCGCAGTTTGACAGGGCATTTTAACGTGGTTGCGCATCATGTACCGAGTCCGCGATGCTCATTTATCATCCCAGGAGACAGCGTAGAGTGTATATATTTCACGGTCGGTCGTAGAAGGCTTGGGTCGCACGGTGACGTCGACCAGTCATTTGTTATTTTCCCTCTCACCTGCTAGATTTATGGAGGCGACGATTTATTGCTAGAGTTGTTTTTTAGATTTTCGTCGTTAGTTCATTTGTGATGTTTCAAAGCTACCTTATCCGTAGATTTGCAAACATAAGCATTTTTGTTAGTGCTGAATTGACATTGAATTTGAAATCTACGCACCCGATTTACCTGGAAGACATGCTTCCATCCATATTGGTCGTTTTTTGAAAATTTAGTATCCTTAAGCTGAATAATTTAGTTTCTTAGAATAAAAAAATCCATTACGGGCAATGAAAGATTTCCAGACCAAGTTTCTCAGTGTAGTCAGAATTTTGTGTTATCCAGCGTTAGGTGCTTCAAATGGTATACATACAAAGTGTTCAAAAAATTCCCGACCGAGGAAAAAAAATGACGAAGACAAGCGAGTAGTAGAATTTTGCTACGGCGATGGTGATCTTGAAAATAACCTTGTAGGTCATTTTAAGGTCAAATTCATTTGCTTAAATATGACCCTATACTTTTGACCCCTGAGAATGAATGAAGGGAAAATTTTCAAGTTTGAATATGTCTTTGACCATGACCTTGAGGTCAAGTTGATCCTCTCAAGTTGAATAGGACCTTTATACTTTTGACAATAACCTTGACTTTGACCTTGTAGGTCATTTCAAGGTCAAATTGATTTGCTTAAATATGACCCTATACTTTTGACCCCTGAAAATGAATGAAGAGAAAATTTTCAAGTTTGAATATGTCATTGACCATGACCCTGAGGTGAAGTTGATCCTCTCATGTTGAATAGGACCTTTATACTTTTGACCTCGAAAATCCGAGGAGGCAAAAACGTTAAGCTTAGATATGACCCTGACCTTGGAAGTGATTTCTAAATCATTCCAATTCTTAAAGGTCATTTCGATGTCAAATTGATTTTCTTAAATGGGACCGTAATACTTTTGACCTTGGAAATCGAAAGAGGCACAAATACTGAGCCTTAATATGTCCTTGACCTTGAAAGTCATTTCTAGGTCAGTTGACTTTCTTAAGTCACGCGCTTATACTTTTGACCTCGGAAATCCAAAGAGGCGAAAATTGTGAGTTTCGACGTGACCTTGCCCTTGAAAGTCATTTCAAGTTCAACCAGATTTTCTTGAAATATATGTACATGATAATTATATCTTAAAATGCTTTAAATGCGGTTCAAATGACCTATATTCCAGGTATTTTGAACTGCCAATACCGAATCCGAAGTCGTTTCACGTGTATCTGATCCCGTTTATCATTTAGATCTAACTATTTAGCTAAAAATTACAAAACTACGCGTTTTTTGCGACTTTAAGGTGCTAAAAACCCATTTTTACTATTGATGACTACATGAAAGCAGTCTTGCGCAATGAGGTGACTTAGCGAACTGAATATGAATATCATATTTAGTGTCAGCAGACTGGATTTAGGGTGAAAAGTTGACAGGAAACCGTTTTTGCGGGCTAGCCGTAATTTCTAGCACTGTACCGACATCGAATTTGGAATCTACGCACCCGACTCGAATGGAATGAAATGGAATAATAATAATAATTTTGAGCCCGGAGATCGAAAAAGAAAATTCTGGGTTTGGACATGACCTTGACCGTGACTTTGAGGGTCATGTCACGGTCAAAGCAAAGACAAGAGTAGTAGGACTTCAGGCAATCTAATGGTGATCTTGTCAATGACCTTAAGTATGTTTGTTCAAGACCATTTGCTTTTGACGCTGTAAATTGAATGAGGGAATAATCTTTAAGTTTGGATATGTCGTCGACCATGACCTTGACCTTAAACGTCATATCGACGTAAAATTGATTTTATTAAACGGGACCTTTACACGTTTGATCTCGGAAGTCAAAAGAGGCAGAAATTCTGACAGTAGTCATGACCTTGAGCTCAAAGGTCACTTCAAGGTCAACCCGGTTCTCTTGAAACTATACTTTTGATCCCGGAGATAGGAAGATGAGAAAAATTGTAGGGTTGACCTTGACCACGACCTTGACAATGGACTTGGCCATGAACTTGACCATGGTCTTGATCATGATCTTGGCCGTAACCTTGACTATGACCTAGACCTCGACTAAATATATTTATTTATATATTTATCAGGGTCAAAGTGATTATCTCTAATGTGACCCTATATTTTTGTCCCCGGAAATCGAAAGACTGTAAAATGTCAAGCTTGGATACCATAACTTACTTCTGTAGTGACGTTTCGCCTCTCTCGCTCCTTCCCGATTCGTTGATGGACTTCGATGAGGAGTACTTCTCATCGTAGCCCGGATTTGTGCGGATGTTGCATTTGGGTTTCTTCTTTTCTTTAAACGAAGAGTGTCGCGAACTGGTACTTGTTGTGGTCGAATACCTAGAACAAGTCACTATTTTCAATATTATGATTCATATTGAAAAAATCAAGTAGGTTGACTCTACACTTTCCACGCAACGCTGTCCCTAGAGCTAGCTACAAACATGCCTCCAGTGTTCCTAGAAAATATCTCTGTAGTGGGAAATTGCTTGGAATACTAAAAACTGGCAAAGTCACCCCGATATACAGGGTGTTTAGTGCATCGTTTACCAAATTGAAATGGCTGACAGAGGAGGTCTTTTTCTATCACCCCAGGTCCCTCAAACAATTTTTAGCCCAACGGCATTCGTTATGTAGATTTTTAATTTCTTTTAGTGAAAACTCCAAAATGTAATACACAAAGTGAAATAAAAAAAATTAAAGAGCATGTCCACCTAATGATTAATTTATCTTAATGGGTGATGTACCAATCTTACAAAGTCAGTTGATAGGGGCCGTATAGTGAGACTTCGGGAAGCTGGACTTTCTTTTCGGGCAATTGCAGTTAGAGTGCAAAGAAGTGTAGACACTGTGGTTAGGTGTTGTCAGGCATGGCTTCGAGAAGGCCGTACGCAAAGAGCAAGGGGCACTGGACGCCGCCGTAGAACAACAGACCGTGAAGATCACCGCCTAAGATTATTGGCCTTAAGGGACCGTTTCTCCACTAACAGGTCCATTGCAAATGAATGGTTTGCAGAATACGGAAGACCTATTGGCATGCGAAGTGCTTATCGACGAATGAGAAGTTTTGGCTTGTTTTCATACCGGCCACACTGGGTCCTCCCTTTAACTCGAGAACACCGACGGAATCGCCTTGAGTGGTGCAGACAACGGTCACTCTGGGATCAGGAATGGAACACTATTGTCTTTAGTGACCCGTCTCAATTTTGTTTAGGCATGCACGATGGTCGTGCCAGGGTTAGAAGGCGACGTGGTGAAAGGAGGAATCCACAGTTTTTTGTTGAAAGACATGTTCATCACACTGTTGGAGTTATGGTTTGGGGTGCTATAGCTTATGGTTCCAGGTCACCTTTAATCTTCATCAGAGGTAACATGACCGCGCAGCGTTATATGCACGAAGTTCTAGAACCCCAACTTTTATCCTATCTTGACACCCTGGCAGATCCAACTTTCCAACAAGATAATGCCCGACCACATGTTGCAAGAGTCACAATAGACTTCTTTCAACATAATGATGTCACATTGTTACCATGGCCACCAAGAACTCCCGACTTATCCCCAATTGAGCACGTGTGGGATATGATGGGTAGGAGATTGCTCAATTTGCAACGTCCTCCTCAGACTCTAGAAGCACTTCGAGAGGAGTTGGTGGTTGCCTGGAATGAGATACCACTGGAGGACATTGACCACCTGATCAGAAGCATGCCTAGGCGCGTTGGAGAATGCGTAGCACATCAGGGTGCATCCACACATTATTAAAGGTCAAAGGGCTTTAAAGCAGTGCAATCATTTTGAAATTTTTATCATTTACTTATTATGCTTCATTAAGTACTTATACAAAATTTTATTAAAATAAAGCCATTTAACCTGGGTGTTCGGATTTATATGTCACTTAGTATATTTATGCAATTTTCTGTCATACTGCGCAACTTTCACTGAAAATTTCTAGTTTTCGCTGTAATTTGGCGATAATTCCACACCTCTTATGGCATTCTTATACATCAGGGAAATCTCCACAGAGGGCAATTCGGCATCCCTGCACCGTATCCAAATATTATTTAAGCCACATTAACTCAACACTTTACTAAATCATTAAACTCTTGGGTTAAATTTTTTTATCAAAACAAACAAAATCCGTTATCGAGCCTGCCAGCAATTAACTGGGATACTTTTAAAATTAATTAAAAACAGCACTGGCCTCTACCAAAATATGCCTGGAACCACAAAAAATTCTGTATTACAGGATTACGTGCTAGTCTAAAAAAAACGGAACTAAAAAACAATCCGGAATGCACTCAACAGCGGTCCCAATACGCGGATACAGAAAAATCAAAAACAATTTGTCGACGAATTGCACCGTAAACAATGCGAAAAACGTAAAAATGTGCACGTTGTGGTAAACTGAAAAAGATCACGGGGTGATTCTGAACCTTCATACGAGGTTTGTTCAAAAAGTATCGCGAATTTTGAATTTTTCTTAAATAATAGAACGTGTTTCACTGATATCAAATATGCAACATTCAGAATCACCTTCCCCCAACCCCCACTTTTTAAGCAGTACAATTTTTTTCTGTCAATGATAAGGAACCCCTGTAATGTCAAAGACCGAGTATCAGCAATTGTTACTTTTTTTTTGCCTATAGCACCGTTGCCACTGGACTAAAACTGCAAAGCTTTGATATACTAGTAATAACCCCGTGTGGAAATTTCATAAAAATACGAGCGGTTATTTCCAAGTTGATGAGTGTTACAGTTTTTCGTGATGTAGATGTCATATGACTTAAAAAACATAACATCTCATTTTAGAAATTTTTCACGATTACAATACTTCCTCGCCAATGACGTGGGAAGTAAAACTGCTTTAAAATCGAGGAGTATCAGCGATCGCGATTATGAGTACCTCTTTGCAGAACGACTTATCTACGCGATATTATATGAAATAGGACCAGCAAATTATCTGAATACGTCCTTTCTTAGTCCGTACATTGCGCCGCAATGCTTGGGTTGGCAGCACGAAACAGTAAACAAAATTCATCCAAAATACGATTTGTAGAGGTTTGCGCGCTTCGAAATTGACGCTTTATTTTTTGATATTTTTTGATGAAATTTTCACAGAATGCTGAAAACAAAACCCCATAGGGTGCTATAGATCCACTTTTTTATTTTTTCACTAGGTTCTTTTTAAAAAAATCGCGAAGTTGAACAGAAAAAGTACGCATCTCAACCCATCATAAAACTTGTCCAAAAACAAAATTTCAAAAAGTGCACCCTGGGCAATTATCTTCTCAACATACTGTATGAATTTCATTCAAAGATATTGAAAAATGGAGTGTCAGTTTTGAAGCAGCTGAACCCTTGTAAATGGCTTGAAACTCACTGCGTCGGAGCCGGCTTAAGACATCATTTAGCCACCTTTTTACACAAAAAATCATACCAGTGCATTTAATTTTTTTGAGAAAGATTACCATTTCTGTTGGAAAGTCGAACAAAGCCCTCTTGCGGCCGCATGCGAACCTAACAAAACTTCAAATATCATAACATTTATAGCCGAAGAATATCTATTTCCAACTAGCCTAAGTTCGTTAAAATCGGCTCAGCCGGTTAGAAGATACAGGGTGTTCTTTACCGAAACCCTTGAATACCCTCCACCACTGTATTCTTGGAGATACAGCAATAATTGTCAAACAAAAAAGTTCAGATTATCCTACAATTTATAGATTGTGTATTTTTTTGTTAGGAATTCGGAATTCACAGAAACATCACCTTTTTAGACACAAGATTCGTGTTACGTCCCCTAGCGGGCATTTCAGAAACTTAAAAATATTTCCCGGGTTTTTCTCTTGGCCGTTTTAGTGATAAAAATTCCAGATATAGTACCTCACATTCTTAGTACATGTATATAAAGTAAATTACCTAATTAATTGAGCAGTTATACAGGGTTGTCCAATAGGGACGCAGGAAAGTAAACGTCAATTTGACATAGACGCCATCTTTGTTTTCTGTCACCGACATGTCATTTTGTTAGTTGAATGTTTACCATTGATCGCTATGGAGTCGTATTCGATTGAAGACCGCATTAAAGTTATTCAAGAGCACTACAAAAATGGTACAAAAATAAAAAACACGTTTCGCGCACTTCTTGAACATTTCGGTCGCAACAACCGCCCAAACGAAACAACCATCGGTCGTCTGGTGCGTAAATTCGAGGCAACAGGTGCTGTGGCAAATCTGCCAGGCTCTGGCCGGCCAAGGTGCGTTCGCACACCGGAAAATATTGCTGTTGTGAAGGAGAGTGTGAGAGACGATCCGAAACAATCAACAACGCGTCGATCCCAAGAACTGGGCATTTCGAGAACCAGTTTGCTCCGCATTCTCCACAAGGATTTGAATGTACACGCCTACAAGATCCTATTGACGCAAGAGCTGCGTCGGGCCGACCATGTGCCATTTTTGATTTCGTTTGAGCCACGCAACAGACACCACTATTCACTCACGCGTTACCGACTGACACTGACTGTATACAACTGAATAAAATAATTGTAAAAACATCGTTCCAAATTCTTTCGCTTTTTTGTTTCCGATGCGATGAACCGATAAGGCGGATTATATCCGTTGTTGCCAAACACGAGCACATAATATTATTATTGAGACAGGGCGGTACTCAAACTTCCAAAGGGCTATAACTTTGTTACTTTAATTTTACCAGAAAAATGGTAAAGGAAAAAAACATTTCTTTTGATCAGATCTACTCACTGTTAAAATAAATGGCTCAACAAAGTCACCCTACCTAATTAATTGAGCAGTTATAATAAAACAGGTATACTGTTTGCCATTTTCAATCAAACTAGCTTAATAATACATTACTTCCACTTGAACTGTTTCCAGAAAAGTCCCTTTAATTAAACCGAATAATTTAGTAACTAAACTGAATACGGGTAATGAAAAGTTCCCAGAATAACCGTTTAATCGACCACGTTTTCTCAATGCTCTTATAAAATACGAGTCCATACCTGTAGCTAGAAGTAGTCTGTGAATCTGAATCTAGAGAATGGCATATCTTGTACTCTATGTCCTGGTATCCAGTCGGATGTTTGGTCGTAGAGGAATATTCCAAGCTGGACTTTGTTGAGCTAACGGAGTCACTTTTTATCGACTGGTACATGCGCCTGTTGTAAACTTTGCTAGACTTCGGAGGTGATGCTAGCGCGAAGTTGTATGTCTCACAATCACTGGACCCTGCAACAAAGTATTAGGTGAAATATTCTGGTTTACTTAGTGCAATCTGAACAGGGAAACTCAAAAATTTCCGGATCTGCCATATAATAATATGAAGGTCTTATGTTTTCCCCCTATTTGTACATCAGCTTGTCAACCACTTGACCAAGGGATTATACAGAGTATAGTTATTATCGAAGTCCAATACTCAAACAGAAGAAGAAATTGAAAATCCAGTTGAAATACAAGAACGTTCTGAACGTTCGATGAGGTTCCAGTACCAACAGAAGCTACTCCAGATTATGGTAAAGCTATTACCCTGACCAAGCAGCTCAAAGATTCTTTGGAGCTTCTTCCTAAATTAGAAATCCGCCGTAGAACAACAGACCGTGAAGATCGCCGCCTAAGATTATTGGCCTTAAGGGACCGTTTCTCCACTACCAGGTCCATTGCAAATGAATGGTTTGCAGAACATGGAAAACCATTGGCATGCGAAGTGTTTACCGACGAATGAGAAGTTTTGGCTTGTTTTCATACCAGCCACACTGGGTCCTCCCTTTAACTCGAGAACACCGACGTAATCGCCTTGAGTGGTGCAGACAACGGTCACTCTGGGATCAGGAATGGAACAATATTGTCTTTAGTGACGAGTCTCGATTTTGTTTAGGCATGCACGATGGTCGTGCCAGGGTTAGAAGGCGACGTGGTGAAAGGAGGAATCCACAGTTCTTTGTTGAAAGACATGTTCATCACACTGTTGGAGTTATGGTTTGGGGTGCTATAGCTTATGGTTCCAGGTCACCTTTAATCTTCATCAGAGGTAACATGAACGCGCAGCGTTATATCCACGAAGTTCTAGAACCCCGTCTTTTACCCTATCTTGACACCCTGGCAGATCCAACTTTCCAACGAGATAATGCCCGACCACATGTTGCAAGAGTCACAATAGACTTCTTTCAACATAATGATGTCACATTGTTACCATGGCCACCAAGATCTTCCGACTTATCCCCAATTGAGCACGTGTGGGATATGATGGGTAGGAGATTGCTCAATTTGCAACGTCTTCCAGTAATTCCACATACATTTCACCGGTCAAATTTCGAGGTAAGAAAGAAGGACCAACTAAATGATCCCCAAAAATACCAGCCCAAACATTTAATTTTTGTGGCTGCTGTGTATGAACCTCATGATAAATTCTGGGATTAGAATCGGGCGAATATCGGCAGTTATGACGATTTACTACGCCATTTAAGAAAAAGGAACATTCGTCGGAAAAGCAAGTGTTGAATAGAAAATGTTCATCGTTTATAATTCGTTCACTCATATCTTCACAAAATTGTAATCGCCGATCAAAATCGTCATCATTAAGTTCTTGTACCAGGTGAATTTTATAGGGATGAAAAATATTTTTGGACAACACGTCGAGTAACACCACACACAGTCTCCAATTTGCGGGTACTTAACGTAGGATCTACATAAACTTGCCCTAAAACCCCCACTTCTGTTGCTTCGTTCCTTATGGGATTTTCAATGTTGCGTTTTTTATTGGCGACTGACCCAGTCTCCCCAAATTTAGCTACAAGTTCTAGAACATGTTTTCGATGCACGTTACTGTTCAAAGGAAGGTAAACACCTAAGTATGTTTATCCGATTTTAATAATTTTTGGTTCAGTGTTCCTTACTAGTAAAATGATTGAATATTCAGCTTGATTGGTCAACTGACAGAATAAACTGGTTCAATAATGTGTTGAGAATCCACGATTTCCTATACACTCATTGACACGCCTGGGCATCGTGCCGCAACTTCGTGAGTAAGAGCTGCTAAAGTCTTTGGAGGGTATCGCAAATTCAAGACCTTGCGACCTATCATGTCTCAGATATGTTCAATTGGAGATAGGTCAGACGATCGCGGTGTCCAAGGTAAACGGTTGATGCGATGTTGATCCATGAAGGCTAACGATGCTCTGGCAATATGCGGTTTGACATTGTCTTGCTGATAAATCGGGTTTTGGATAGTGTTTAGGTATGAAATAAGATGAGGCTTCACTACTTCCTGAATATAGCGTCGGGCTGCCATGTTGCGTCTGATGAAAATTAGTGGTGATCTGCTACCATAAGCAATAGCAACCCATACCATAACTCCCATGGTGTGGTGAACGTGACGCTCTCTATCAAATTGTGGGTCGCCACATCGCCTTCCCATCGTGCATCCCCAGACAGAAACGGGATTCGTCACTAAAGACCACCTGATTCCATTCCCGGTCCCAAATGAAACCAACACATAAAAATCACTGAATATTAAGTAAATATGCTCATATTTTTCGGATCCTGATAGCTATGACAAAAAAGCCTTTGCAAAAGAAGTACATATACGTAATATGTACGTTCTCACTTTTTTCCTTATCTAACAACATTCTGTCTTCGGTTAATCTTTGCTTCAAGGTAGCATATCCATGATTCTGTTCATCAGTGTGATGGCATAAGCAGCTTATTAACAACGATAGAGAACAGCTTCATTTATTCTGTAGTACTTAATCAAAATTCTTGTAAATACTGAATAATGGATACATACTCGATGGTGATATCCGATATCACTCAAAGATGTCAGATTAAGAAGCCGCTTATGCCATCACCCTGGTGAACAATATTCAATGCTGTCTTATGTCTCGAAGCTTTTCGAAAACATCTCGTATACCGTTTCGTAATACGTCACTGACGTTAACCGAGTAGTTTCGCGAAGTTCCTATTTTGTATTCGTCTCAAGATATATGGAGCTTATTTGTTAGAGTTATTCGTCCTCTCATTTCCGCCACCTGTGGACCGACGTTAGATAAAAATAAAGAATAATGAGGAAAAGTTTCGCTGCTGAAGTTCATCCTTTCAAGGTTGTTCTGCTCTGTGGGGCAACGCGTGTTATATGTTCAATAAACACCGTGAACTTAAGATAAAACAAAAAAAAATAGAAGAAATACATTGTAGAAAACGAAGCTCGACGATGGGGTAATGACAAATGAAAAAATAATAGCAGATCGTATAAATAGCTATTTAGTAGAAAGTGTAAGGACAATTATTGACGGGGATGCCAACCAATGTCCCTATCAATGAGATTATAATGCATCATTCACTGAGTCTAGAATAATGAACGTTAATCGACTCAAGGGATATATCAACATTGAGATCAAATCAAAATAAGACTAGGATTTTGTCTAAAAGGATGCTTAATGAATGTTTTGTTATTACACTGATCAACAGCCAAAATATATCCTACATAAAATCAACAAAATCTTACTATTTTTAATGTGCTAAAACCGGAATGAAACTTATTTTTTCAATATTAGTTCAAGTTTTAGAGATGCGGTAATTATATGTGTTCCTGCTGTGACAGTGTTAATATACTGTAATTCACAAGAATGCACGTGCTACATTTTTATATTCGGCAAGGAAAGATGATGTAATCGGCATGATTGTGTTACGTTATACATACGTGTACATTATATTATTTTATATTAGCCATTTTTTCCTCAGTTGGCTGACAGCGCTCGTGCAAGATGTCTCGAAAGTGTGTAAACAATCCAGATCAGTTTTGTTACGTGTGTGGTGATGTGACTTTTGCGTCTCAGAGACGGTCTATTACTCCACTAATAACAAAGGCATATCAGCTTTATTTCGGTTGTAAACTAGGTGATCAAGACAAACAGTGGGCACCCCACATCTGCTGTAATTCATGTGCTTCAAGTCTGAGGAGCTGGTTAAATGGCAAAAAACGGTCTATGCGCTTTGCTGTCCCAATGGTTTGGAGAGAGCTTACAAATCATATTAATGATTGTTACTTTTGCATGGTACCTTGTGTTGGACAAGCCACAGGTAAGTATGTCCAAGAAAAAAAATCGGTTATTAACTACCCAAACATACCATCTGCGATGAGACCTGGGCCTCACAGTGACGAAAATCCTATTCCAAAACCCCCAGAATCCTACACTTGCGAATCAGAAAACGAATCAGATCATGGCGATCGAGTGATTCGTCAGGAAGAAGATATGCCATCAACGTCAAGAGATCCTGATTTTATACCGAGCACGTCATACCACCAACCGCACAAAATAACACAGTCAGAATTAAATGATCTTGTAAATGATTTAGAACTTCCAAAATGTAAGGCAGAGTTACTTGGATCAAGACTGCAGCAGTGGAACTTGTTAGAAGACGATGTTTCGGTATGTGTTTTTCGTAAACCCACAAAGACTTAGAACCATTTTTCAATATGGAGAATAACTTGGTTTTCTGCAGTAACATTAACGGCTTACTGGCGGTTTTAAATATAAACTATAACCCAGAACAATGGAGATTGTTTATAGACAGTTCAACATTTAGTTTAAAGGCAGTGTTATTGCATATTGGAAATATTTTACCATATCTTCCTGTAGGGTATGCAGTTCACATGAAAGAATCATATGACAATATGAAGTACCTATTGACATGCATAAAATACGATGAGCACCAATGGCATATTTGTGGCGATTTGAAAGTTGTTGCACTTTTACTTGGGCTGCAGCTAGGCTACACAAAGTTTTGCTGTTTTTTGTGTGAATGGGACAGTCGGGCAAAGGCACTTCATTACACCAGACAAAACTGGCCTGTTCGTCAATTCCTAGAGCCAGGTCAAAAAAATGTACAGCATATGCCATTAGTAGATTCGAAAAAAATTTTATTACCACCACTGCATATAGAGTTGAACCTAATTAAAAACTTTGTCAAGGCATTAGATAGAGATGGGTCAGCTTTTCAATACTTGCGTCAGAAATTTCCAAGACTAAGTGAGGCAAAGGTTAAAGAAGGTATTTTTGTTGGGCCACAGATTCGAAATATTTTGAAAGATACACAGTTTGAAAACACTTTAACAGGTATTGAAAAAACTGCTTGGAATGATTTCCGTCTGGTGGTCACTAATTTCTTGGGAAATAGAAAAGCTGACAACTATAAAACCCTTGTCAAAAATATGCTGTCATCGTATCAAAAGATGGGCAGTAATATGTCTCTTAAGATACATTTCCTACACTCACACCTGGACTTTTTTCCTGACAATTGCGGAGCCGTAAGTGATGAGCACGGCGAACGTTTTCATCAGGATATTTCAACAATGGAAAAAAAGTACCAGGGAAAGTGAAATCCTTCCACGCTTGCAGACTACTGTTGGACTCTTGGTAGAGATGTTCCAGAAACGATCCATAAAAGAGCAGCAAAAAGACAGCGCATATAGTGATTCTTATAAGTATATGAATCTTGTTACTTTTTTTAATATATCATTAAAAATAAAAGGTTTTTTCTAAACCGCAACTAATTTTTTTATTTCATTGTCATTTTTGGATTCAGCGCCCCAAAATTAACAAAGAAGTGCACTTTTCCCACAAGATACAATTAAAAAACTAAAATTTGTTGTCCAGTGTTATTGGAGCAAGAATATTAATCCTGATAAATTATTGTTTAAGCTAGTCTTCTTTCTCCTAGCTCACCGACAGCTTTTCACTCTAAATTCCTGCATGTAAAGTGCTATCATCTTTCAATGACTATTAGGGTCACACACACACACATGATTGTGAAACTCATGACCTTGACCTTGCTACCGTGCTAAATGTAAATGATAGCAGAACAATGTATGAGATTCTCTAGCAGCTATTTCCCATAAACTGTTATTAAATGGCGTATAACCAACGTATTCAGTATATCTACAGCTCAAGTGACAACTCGTAAAACAAACTTCAAGCCGCCTCATATCCTACTCTGACTATCAAACAGCATATTAGCGACTACATAGTAGAATTTCAAACCGAAAACGCCGTTTCGCTTACTACTATAATACGGTACAATGAGCTGAAGAATGTCAAACATTAAATCCAGAGATTTTAGAACAATTTCAAAATCCAATATTAAACTGACGTAAATCCCACAAGCAGCGAGGTTTTGCGAACAGTTAAACGTACAATGTATTGCTGGGTATTTCTAAGGTAGTAGCAATATACGAGGGGTGCTATAAAATAATTCTACCAAGGCATGAAGCAACAGACGTACGATTTTTCGATTCATTTTATTTTTCAATATAATACCCCGATTACTGCTCCATTATATAAAAATGTTTCCTTTTAACTCTCAAAAAAATTATCATAAGCTCTTAGGCCATCAACTGAATCAAAATGGGACCATCGAAGATTCTTCTTTAGTAATCCGAAGCGATAAGAGTCAAATGGAGCTAAGTCTGGACTATAGGGGGATGGTCTTCCTCACCAAAGCTGCACTTGTGCACAATTGGTCTAATTTTACCAGCGCTATGCCCGTTCGCATTTTCATCCAGCAACAATTCTCGATTGAAAAAGTCGGGTTTTTTTCTGGTTTATTGCTGCACATGAACGTTTCAGCTTTATTCGTATAATCATTCGTTAACACATTTTTTGTAATTTTACATTCTTGTCTATTTAAATTACATCACTATGCATTTTGAGTTTTCATTAAGTGATATTTTGAGTTCGAACACTGGTTTATATCATTATTCAATAAATTGAGTTCAAATATTCTATGCTACTATTACAATTTTGCAGATGAAAATCTACAGGGTTTAAACGTTATGATAGATAGATAGAGAAAAGCGGCTTTGGCAGTGTAAACAAAGATGGAGTTTGTTATTTTTGGCTCTTAGGTATTATCTCATTATTTGATAATGTTCTCGTAAAAAAACAGACTTACCACTAACTATCTCAGCACTTCACCTGGTGTGTGAAAGTTTATTGAACGTATCAAGAAAATCCACTTATAAATAGGGAACACAATTTTGATACATACATTGTTTTTCTTTTTAAAACCCACACTGCACTTTTTTGTATTTAAAGAAGGTGTTCGAATTGTCGTCCTCCACTTTCCACACAAGCTTCATTACGACGATACCCAGTTTCTTCTTACTCTAGGCCTCGAAGTTGTCCATTTATTGTTTAAGCCGCATTAAAAATTTTTTCGCGAAGTTGTGCTTCAGTTGTTATTGGACCAGCCCCATAAACCATCCCTTTAAGTTCTCCCCAATACCAAAAATCCATCGGATTGAGGTCAGGAGATCTTGCTGGTCATTTTAGAGGATCAGGAGCATTTCGACCGATCCAGCGATTTGGATAATGTTCATTCAAATACTGGATGACGCCTCTAAAAATGTGTGATGGTGCCCCGTCATGAAGAAACCACAAAGTCTGTCTCCGTTGTAATGGCACGTTGTCTAAGGTCTGTTCCAAAAGTTCTGGTAGATTATTGGCTAGAAAGGTAAGGTATCCTTCTCCTGACATCTTTGGGGGTAACTCGAAAGGGCCAATCGTCAAGAAAACCCGCCCAAATATTTATTTTAAAACGTTGTTGGAAATGACCTTCACGAATGGTATGAGGATTTTCTTGGGCCCACGTGTGAGTATTATGGAATTTAATATCCCGTCTCGCGTAAAAGTATGTTCGTCCGTCGCTAGAATGTTATTAAAAAAAATCCGGATTTTCAATGTTTTTGTGCAAAAACCACTGTCTGCGAGGATAGTATTCTGGTAACAAGGCCTGCACTCGTTGTACATGGTAGGGATAAAGCAAATTTTCCCGTAGGATTCTATGGAATGTGGTATGCGATAGTCCTACGCGGCAGCCTAATTCCCGAGTGCTGATATCTGTATTGATTTCCAAGATATTTAAAATTTGTTCCTCCTGCTCTACAGTAACCTGTCTTTCACGAGCGCGAATATTAGTGGGCTGAACACTTCCTTTATCTCGAAGTCTTAGGTACACTTGCACAAATGTCCTGTCTGGGTGTACCCGTTGGCGAAATCTGCCGCGATAAATTTGAGCTGCAAAATTTGAATTCTGGCGAGCTTCACCGTAAACTAACAACATATCGGCGAACTCTTGACTCGAGAACATTGAAAATAAACACGACGACGTACACGAACAAAAACAAAACAACATACTAACCACTGTTTCCGTTTGCGATCGATTGCCGGTTCGATAAGGGTGATGAAAGGTCGACGCGCTGTTGTCATGTGTGTTTCAAATATTTAATTTGATGAAACTTACTTACTGACTACAAATTTTGGCTTAACTTAGAAAAATTTAATGCCATTTATTTGTTAATTACCCAATTTGAAAACGTTTTAGATTAGATTATACAAATTAGAAAGGTTATGGTGATTGTGGTCGATATAAAGCATTTAAAGTTATAAATTATAAAGCCATTTAGACAAAAGTCTGTTGACTTTTGGATCATGGGTCATATGAACTTTTTGACTTGATTTGACCCCCCCCCCATTTCAATAATGACTACCATAACGTTTACAGCCTGTATACTGCCCCTAGTTTCGATCGAAAAATTTATTGTGTAATCATCCTCATAGACAGCAACCATTCTCTTAATAGTCGTTTTATGCTGATGGCCCTCTTTTGTCAGAAATTTTATGACACTGCGAAACTGATTTTTCCTTACTCACCTCAATTTTTTCAAGTAAGGTTAGAACTCATGACACTATTTGACGTATTACGATTGTGCGTTTCAATTTTTTTTTGCTTCGTGTCTAGGTAGATTTGCAACAAAACACCTCAATGTTTGTCCATGGTAATAGATGATAAAAAATATCAAATCGGTGACATTGTTGACTGTATGACTGATACGAGCACTTACCAGCGATCGTGTTATCTCTGCAACCAGTGTCATCGTCGGTGTAGTCGAACTTCTTGGGTGACTTCAGTGGAGCTTCTTCTCGACCAAAATCGAAAACGGCCCTTTCCGTTTGGCTTGGACTACTCAGCGATACCTTGGGCGAACGAAGGCCGCCGCACGCCTGGAACAAACAACCATTCTCAGCTACCACAAACCACAAAAAAGACATCGCCTACTGTCGACTGCTTGACTGTGTCCATAGTCTCGACTGTGACTAGCTCTGCTGCCGTCTGGTCGGGTATTTATCGCCCAATCGACGAGTCGAGAGACATTTAAGCGTTTTCCAGGCAGAGTCGTGAACGTCGATGGAAGCGATCTAGACGGCACACTGTTCTGCAGGCACTGAATCAATCTGCGACTACCCTAACGATGGGGGTATCTATACTAAGTGACATATAAATCCGAACACCCAGTTTAAATGGTTTTATTTTAATAAAATTTTGTATAAGTACTTAATGAAGCATAATAAGTAAATGATAAAAATTTCAAAATGCACTGCTTTAAAGCCCTTTGACCTTTAATAATGTGTGGTTGCACCCTGATGTGCTACGCATTCTCCAACACGCCTAGGCATGCTTCTGATCAGGTGGTCAATGCCCTCCTGTGGTATCTCATTCCAGGCAATCACCAACTCCTCTCGAAGTGCTTCTAGAGTCTGAGGAGGACGTTGCAAATTGAGCAATCTCCTACCCATCATATCCCACACGTGCTCAATTGGGGATAAGTCGGGAGATCTTGGTGGCCATGGTAACAATGTGACATCATTATGTTGAAAGAAGTCTATTGTGACTCTTGCAACATGTGGTCGGGCATTATCTTGTTGGAAAGTTGGATCTGCCAGGGTGTCAAGATAGGGTAAAAGATGGGGTTCTAGAACTTCGTGGATATAACGCTGCGCGTTCATGTTACCTCTGATGAAGATTAAAGGTGACCTGGAACCATAAGCTATAGCACCCCAAACCATAACTCCAACAGTGTGATGAACACATGTCTTTCAACAAAAAACTGTGGATTCCTCCTTTCACCACGTCGCCTTCTAACCCTGACACGACCATCGTGCATGCCTAAACAAAATCGAGACTCGTCACTACAGACAATACTGTTCCATTCCTGATCCCCGAGTGACCGTTGTCTGCACCATTCAAGGCGATTACGTCGTTGTTCTCGAGTTAAAGGGACGACCCAATGTGGCCGGTATGAAAACAAGCCAAAACTTCTCATTCGTCGGTAAACACTTCGCATGCCAATAGGTCTTCCGTGTTCTGCAAACCATTCATTTGCAATGGACCTGGTAGTAGAGAAACGGTCCCTTAAGGCCAATAATCTTAGGCGACGATCTTCACGGTCTGTTGTTCTACGGCGGCGTCCAGTGCCCCTTGCTCTTTGCGTACGGCCTTCTCGAAGCCATGCCTGACAACACCTAACCACAGTGTCTACACTTCTTTGCACTCTAACTGCAATTGCCCGGAAAGAAAGTTCAGCTTCCCGAAGTCCCACTATACGGCCCCTATCAAACTCACGAAGTTGACGAAATCGTACAGGTCTCCGTACTCTAGGCATCGTAACCGATCGTAAAGGATGTCAAGAACCAAAATCCGCCAACGTTGATTCTTTACTGCGGCTGAAATATTCATTTTTAGAGCGTTAGTGAATTAAAAAAAAGCAGTATAAAAACCGGAATGTCCAACTGATGGGGCTGAAAATTTTTTCACTTGTTATTTACAGTAAGATAAATACATTCACCAACTTTTATTAAAATAAAACCATTTAAACTGGGTGTTCGGATTTATATGTCACTTAGTATATATACCTAGGTATTATCATAGTGTGTATTAATATGGTATATGTAGGCTTTGACTTTGTTATATACATAATATTTGTTATAACATATTACAGACACATAAATCTTGAAAAGGCGAAATCTAAGTGAGCTATGAATAGCTTTATACACTAATACAGTGATCGCCAACCCGTAAACTTTGTAAGTTCTCATAATAAACACAAGCAGCGGCAACAATGCGGTGAGCGATCTGTTCGAGAACGATCTCGATTACTTTGAACCGGATAAATATGCAGGGCGTAGCGACAGTGCGCTCAGATTAAAGCTGAAAGGCATAAAGTTAGCTTACATTGCTTATGACTAAGTAGCTCACTGTTTATTGCAAAATTATCAAAGTAGATCAAGACACTGGAAAGGTTTGCGACCACTGCTCTAGACCTCTACACTACTGTGAAGGCGTTACCTCTACACATCCCAAAACGTTGACGTAAGGGGCTCAAAACGTTTGCAGTCAAGTATCAGCTAGTTTGACAATGCTTGACGTCGTGTTACAAGTCAATGTGACACACCAGCGGAATCTCCTGAGACTCCGTATTGCACACGAGCAGAGCTTCAAGATCATATTAAAGAACACGAGGTGTGTAAAGTACCTGGAGAGGATCGAATCACTAATAAGGCGCTGAAGCTACTTTCGCGGAAGTCCTTAACTTATCTCGTGGCAATAATCAATAATCAATGCCATGCTAAGGTACCAGCACTTCCCAACGGCGTGGAAGACCGCTGATGTCATAATGATTCCAAAGACGATGGGTTCGATATTCCCCCAGGATTACCGCCCCAAAAGTCTGCTGTCAGCTTCTTCTACGCTCGCTGAAAAGGTCACCTTGTAAATTTCTCGTCAGGCCACAATGTGATTCCTGACGTGCAATTCGGCTTTCGGTCTGAGCATAATACGGAGCTACAGGCCATAAGGCTTGTTGAACGAGTAACCAGGGGGTTCACCCGTAACGAAGGTACTGGCATCTTGCTTCTGGATGTCTCAAAGGCATATGACAAGGTGTGGCACAAAAGCCTTCTCTACAAATTGATCCAATATTTACCGATAACATCATTCTCCACGAATTTGCAAAATAATTTAAGTATTTCTATACTTGCTGAAAAAAAAATGTACCGATCATCGCAGAGCAGATCACTTTAATAAAAAGCAATTGATATCCGAAACGTCTTATAATAATAGAAATAAGAAAATAAAACAATGTTTAAAGATATGGTTTCATAAATAGGAATTTTTGATTCTGACAATATCTAGTCGATGAATAATAGGTGGATGCGGATACTTTTACAAATATCGATGTTTTAGGACCCAGAAATGCAGAATATGCTGTTTGTTCACATTTGGTGTGGATTTCTAGATCATAAATTGGCAAAAATTGTTTTTAACGTAACAAAAGATGACGAACCAGTTGGAATACGTTTTGCATTCCTTTTTTTGCAAAATAACAAACATCGGTACATTTCTACAGGTACGTATTATGTACTACACCTTGTACGTGATATACAGACAAAACTAGATTGCCATGCATGAACAGTCGTCAAAAACAGTGAAAACATCCTACCAAATATAATAGCTAAAAAATCGACCTATTATTTGCTGCATTCCTAATGGTCCCACTTGAATAACTGACCGTCTTTTGTGAAACTGGAAATTCTATGAAAGTTATCTTAATTCTAAAGCACAAAGACATAATATTACATCTATAATGTACCCTTATTTATAAGGCAACCATTTTTTTCATCCATCAGGGCCTCCCATTTTGGATCCTAAAATTTTTGAAATCCTTCGTCGGATCAAAATTAATAACGTTTTGTCGACAACACGGCCCATCGGAGCCGGAGTCCCTCGGGGTTCGGTTCTTGGACCAGTCCTTTATTCACTTTTTATTCATGACGTCCCTTGCCCCAGCAACTGTGAAATCTATCTCTATGCTGATGAAACTGCCCTGGTGGTCCAGTCGTGTTCTGGGGATCTAGCTCACGGCAGGCTGCAAAGTGCAGTGGACGAGGTATTGGAATGAGCGAATCGGTGGCCGATCAAAATTAATCATTCGAAAACGCAGGCAATCTATTGTACTAAAAAACGTAGCGGCGCCCCGTCTGAGGTTTCAGTGAATGGAGCTCGGGTACCATAGGAAAGTTCTGCTAAGTATCTCGGTGTCACTCTTGACAAGGGGATGACCTGGCAGAAGCCCACTGAAGCGTTAAAAACTAAATTCCAAATCTCGTTTCGGCAACGCTACGTAGAACATCAAAATTAAGTTTGATCAACAAAGTTCGGCTATACAAGATGCTTATTAGACCAGCAAGTGCGGCTTGGTGTTTTCTCGCCAAATCGCATTTGCGTAGCCTGCAGGTTTTGCAAAACAGAACCTTGCGTACAATCACTAACGCCTCATGGTATGTTTCCAACGAGACCCTTCACAGAGACCTTGACATCCCTTAGCTAAGCGACTACATCAAACAACAAGCGCAGCTACGTTATAGTCAAGCGGAATCGCATATCAACCCTTTGTTGCGCGAGTCAGTAGGCTACACAGTCGAGCAAGTTCGCAAGCACACAAGGCCACGACTCGCACTGCGAACAAAATTAAATCGTGCGACTTTAGGTCCAACCAAAACTACAATTTTTCTTCAACAACCAATCCCAAAATTAATTTTAGGATCAATTAAAAATAGCCGAATACTAATTAGCAATGCCAGGGCACCCCTCAAATTGACGCACTTCTTTTTTCTTTGCTCTCCCTCCTTCCTTCCTTTCTTCCCTTCCTTCTTCCTGACTTTGTTTGGCAACCAGACTTTAACCAAGAGCAAAGGTCCTACGGACCGCTCTGACAGACAATGACGATTAGAGAAGTCAATATGATTAAACAGTCCCAAAAATCGTTACTATTTGCCGGATAAGTTTCCTTGTATGCATTGATAAATCATGAACGGTTCCGCAATTTCAATATTGCTCCAAATCCCTCAAAGCCATCTTGAAGTTAATGGCAAGTTCAATCTCTCGCTATACGACGGAGGCGCTTATCTTTGCCGAATAGGCCTTAAATCATAACACCGGGATTCTAGCTGTCTTGCATCTACAAAGCTTTTAGCGTAATATGACGTTCAGCTTGGGTACGCCAGGCAAATATTACCAATAGCTGTACCAACCTTATCCATCCTTTGATATACGAGGGTTGCCCCAAAAATAAGTTTCCACATTTTTTTCAGGCACAAGGAGTTTTTTATTTGAAAGAAAGGATTTATCATTGGAACGTTGATCTTTACGATTACCCGTGCCGATT